AAAGATGAAGTAATTTGTAGGACACATCCTTGACCTTATTGGTTATTAAATATTTAGACGACAAAGTCCACACTTTCTTCCATGGAATGTTGATAAACTGGCCATTCCAGTAGGACACAATGTACGGGAGAGAAGCAATCTCATTCTAGAGAAGCAATCTCATAGCTGTCTCATTCTCCTGTTCCGACCAGAAGAGTTAGATAAAAAACAAATATTCCCAATCATTGTATCAAAAGGATGAGCAACTGACAAAGAAATCTGGGATCTAGCTGAGTCTCTGAGAAGAGTTATTGCTCCATAAGGAATGGCATCCATTACTATAGCAAACTCTCGTGGAGTGACAGGTATGTTATACTTGTTCAAAAACTCTGAATATGAATACAAGTGTCCATCAGCATTGATTAATTGAGAGACCAAAATAAAATTATTATTCACCCAATCTGGGAAAAACAATGACTTATTTTTATAAAGAATATCACAATTATTCCAAATAAAGTACCGGTGAGGACTAAAATTGTGCTTATATATAAGGTGCCAGGCCAAAAGTGCTTGTTTATGAAAATTTGATAATTTAAGGGGCAATTTAGTGATGTTGTACTTGCATAACAATAAGAAAGGGAGATCTCCCACCTTAGAAAAAGCAAGATTAGGAAGAATATTCCAGAATGAAAAAGGGTTTGTTAAGTACTGTTTTAACCAATTTATCTTGAAAGTATTATTTAAGGAAGTAAAATCTAGAAAGTTTAGACCACCACATTCATAATTATTAATAACCACAGACTTTTTAACATAATGCCTCTTATGCTTCCACAGAAAATCAAATAGCATTCTGTCAATATCTACACATGTAGATTTATCCACGTATAAGGAGAGAGCAGGGTAAGTCATTCTTGAGATACCCTCAACTTTAGCAATAAGGGTTCGTCCCCTAAGAGATAAATCTCTTAGTAACCATGAATTGAATTTCCTTTTAGTTTTCTCAACAACTGGGTCAAAGTTCAGTCTGCCTCTGACTTTATCATCCTTACATATGGATACACCCAGATAGGTCACCTGTGACTTAACTGGAATACCGTAAAGAGAGGGAGAGGGACAGGCTTTGACAGCTAACATCTCACATTTATTAAGATTTAAATTTAAGCCGGAAGCTTTAGAGAAAAAATTGATGTATTGGATGGCAATCGGAATCTGTGATTCATCTTTTAAAAACAGGGTAGTTTCGTCAGCTAGCTGACTAATAAGTATATGTTTGTTGTCAATAGTAATACCTTGCAGCTGACTACTCAAAAGAGAGGAGGAAAGAAGTTGTGCAGCCACAAGAAATAAATAAGGGGATACAGGGCAACCCTGACGAACTCCTCTTGACAATTGAAATCTAGGCGAGGTACCCGACTTAAGGTTGATGGAACAGTTGGCATTATTATAAAGAGTTCTTATAAATTTGCAGAATGGATCACCAAACCCAAGCTTTTTAAGAGATAGAAAAATAAACTCATGCTCAAGAGAGTCAAAAGCTTTGTAAAAATCTACAAAAAGAATAAGACTGTCATCATTAACTAATTCGCTATAGTCTAATAAATCTAGAACAAGTCGGATATTGTTTGATATGTGTCTTTTTGGCATAAATCCTGATTGAGTCTCATCGATAACTGAACTTAGAACACACTCGAGTCTTTTGGCCATAGCCCAATTATAATCATTATAATCATTATTAAGGAGACAAATAGGTCGCCAATTATCTATCAAAGTAACATCTTTTTGTATCAAAGTTATCAAAGTTAAAAGCCCTTGTGTTAAACTAGAAGGCAGGAATGGTGCCAATTCTTCAGCAAAGCTTTTGTAGAACTCGGCCGTTAGGCCATCAGTTCCAGGAGATTTGTTATTTTTAAGGCCCTCAATCCCCTCAATTATTTCAGTGATAGTTAAAGTTTTATCGCATGCAAGCTGCTCATCTTTAGATAATGATTTAACCTCCTTTAATGAATGAAAGAAAAGAAGGGCTGAATCTTTTTACATTTTACATTTATAAAGTTCTGAATAGAAATGACTACAGAAACAGGCAATTTCCTTAGAATTATAATGCCATTAGCCATTAATTTGCAGAGAACTAATGGTAAGATTCTTAGAATTGTGTTTTTCCATTCTAAAAAAATAAGCAGAGCTCTGTTCTCCTTGTTCTAGCCATTTCCTCCTTGAACGGACATAGGAACCTTCAGCTTTGTATTTATAAATACGGTCTAATTTAGATTGGAGCCCTGCAAGTTCTGTCAGGCCAGTTTCTGATAAGCCATCCTGAGTTTTGCTCTGAAGTGTTAAGATCTTTGATATAACCTTCTCCTCTTCATACCTTCTCTGTTTTGCCAAATTGCTACTAAAATGCCTAATGCACATCCCTACTTTATATTTTAACATCTCCCAATTTAGGCCAAATTTTTTGTCGGAAGAAGCTTTCACCCAGTAGCGTCGAATCAGAGAGGAAATTCTTTTTTTTAATTCGTCATGTTTAAGTAGAGAGGAATTCATTTTCCAGTAAGAGGCTCTAGAGCCTATATTTGACTGTCCTGTGGATAGTGGAGTAGAAAGGAGAATAGTGTGGTGGTCCGTTAAGGGAGAAGGAAGAATACTAACTGAAACATTATAATGAAGTTTGAAAGAGTATGGTACAAGCCAATAATCTAAACGAGAAAGTCTTGAGCGATTCTTGTTACCCCATGTGTAAGATTTATCGTTTGGGAACTTCTCCCTCCAAATATCTATTAAATCAAACTTCTCCATGAACATTTTCAGTTTTGAATTAGGAGAAGTAGATTGCCTAGGAGGAACTCTATCAAGACTGTTATCAGGTGTGATATTAAAATCTCCAAATTACAGCATCAGGAAATGTATTAAGCCATAACAAAAATTTGTCTCCTATCTCTTCAAATAACAGGTCATTTTCCCGAGAGGTATTATACCCATAAATGTTAATCATTAATACAAAGATATTATTAATACAAATTACCAATAACAGAAAGTGCCCCTTTGGATCTATATAACTCTGTAAAACTGAACCTGCGAAATGGTTTTTCATTATCATAACACCAGCAGAATGCTCTGAACCATGAGCCATCCACACCCGGTTGCCCCATTGATTTTTCCAAAAAGTAGTGTCATTAGATAGAGCGAGACTCCTGGAAAAAACAAAAGTCAGTTTTGAAAGATTTAGCATACAAAAACAACGCTTTACGCTTTACATTATCACGTAACCCCACTGGCATTGAGAGAAACAATTGAAATAGACATTCAACAAAAACAAAAAACAGAGCAAAAGATAATAGAACAAAAATACTAGTAGTAGAACCCTTAAGGGATAAAAGTGCATCGGTAGCTGACTAACAGTCAAATGAATCCAATCTTCGGCATTAACTCAGTCAAACAAATTAAACAGTTTGCCATGTTTAAGGTGGATGAATTTCAGATCCATCAACAAAGGCACGACCTCCTACGAAGTGAGCCCTCTTTCC